TACAGTGTTCCCCGTCCTCACAGTCAGCTGCAGGCACTGCCGAGTTCACCTGCCCACGGGAGTGTGATGGGTCTGGGCTCGTACCCCTCTCAGTTGGGTGTCAGTATCGGGGAGCCAGGACAGAGCAGCCAAGGTAAGCCGAGATTTACAAGCAAGACCTCCACTACAGTTCACAGTCGGGAGTTAAACCTTGGAAAAGTTTTACTTGTTTTCTATTAAGAAGGCTCCTATTGGACAATTCAGCCGCCAATCATATACAGTGCAATTCAACATTACCCTTACGTTTCTTTTTTTTTATTTTGGTAATGTCTTTTCTCAGGTTACAATCGAAACTCCAGCAGTCTGTCTCCAAGAGGTTACCAATCAGCCTCTACTCCTCAGCAGTCAGGCTACGGGGGCTGCACCGGGATGACTGGAGGCTATGGGACAGTTCCTATGACCAGCTTAGGTGTTTCTGGTTTCAACAGTACCTCCCCCACTGGCTCTCCTTACAGTAAGACCTTAAATGTTCTCTAATGTCTGACACTTAACCTTGTTCTTCTGGTTGGTGGATATTTTCAGATGCGACACCGCTCCATGCTCTTTGTTCCACAGTCATGCCCTCCAGCCCCACCATTCCTGGAAGCTCCAGCTCCTCATCTTCTCTCCTGCCTTTCTCCTCCTTCCCATCTTCTGCTAAACAGAAGAGTGCTTTTGCTCCCGTCCTCAGACCACAAGGCTCTCCCTCCCCGGCCTGTCCTGCCTCGGGTGGGAACAGTTTCAGAGGTAGCCACCCAACTCACTATCTGACTCCGCTGTCTGAACTCACAAATGCAGTCTAACCCTTTATACTAACCACCCTCAAAAGCTACAGTATGACTGAACAAGACTCAAACCACAGTTGCTGGATGTGCATACAGACAAGACCAAAACGATAAGAATCATAGACCTTGTATATTTTTTTTTCTCCAGTGATGACGGGCCTGGTTGTTCCCCCGATGTAGCAAAGCAGCCCAAGTCAATCTACCCCAGACCATTGCTTCACTTCACCCCCGGTTTTGGCACTGGGTGGATGGGAGCATGGGGGAAAAAAAATCGAAAGTAGCAACTATATATAAGACATTCTTCTCTGAAGCCCCCTCTCACCTTCATTTCTAAGTCCCCTTTTTTATCCACGGGGTATGACAATGTCCAAAGAGATCTGCTCTTGAGCCAGAGGAGGTTACTTCACTAACAACTACAGACAGACAGACGTCGCTCCTTAGCTAACAGCTCCTGACTGGACCAGGCACAGCCGTGGCAGTAAAAACAGCAGGAAAACAGCTCCCACTTTCGCCTGACGCTTCAAAAGCATCTGTACAGACCTCTGACCTGCGCTCGGATGCAATATTCCATCCTCCTGACACCCGCCTGAGAGTGTTGTAAGAGCACTGTTGTGGTTGGAGGATGAAGGACAACCATGACTCATGTAGCTCTGAAAAAAGCAGGGTGCTGTTTTTTCTGTGTATGGACACCTTAAATGGCATGTGTGTACTGTGTGTACGCTGTCTGTAGTTAGTGAGAGAATTGATTTTTTTTTTTGTAGTAGACTTTTTTGAAGACAATTTACATTCCAGAAAAATAGACTGCTTTATTTTTTCGTTCTGCTCTTGACTGTTTTACAAGTGAAGTATACTCTCTGTCCTAAGGGTTATTACTAAAGGAATTCATATATTGATTTATTTAAGAACAAGCAATTTAACTTATTGTAGCTAGTTTAGGGTATAATATTAATGTGTTTTATAAAGTGGTCCTTTTTCCAGCTGTCACTGAAACAAAGTCAAATCAACAGTTGCTAGTACAGGAAATTTGCGAAAAAGTTTAAAAAGGAGATAATTTCGTAGTGGAAATAAACTCCTGCAGGGTTTTTCAGAACAAAACTTTAATATTACGGCAGCAGCTATTGACCCTGTGTAAAGGAAAATTGTTAGGTAGCCTTATTCTTATTTTTCATTTCACTTATTTAAAATGCATGCTTTGTCACAAAGTGACTTTATTCTACGTTGATGTTGATTTTTTTTTTTCACACGTCAAGTTGCCAGAATGCAGTAAACAGGAAGTGAAAGCACAACAGCCGAAAGTGTTCTTTTACCAGTGTCATGTGTTTTTTGTCTTTTTTTGTCATCACAACACGAACCTTATCACCAGGATGTTAAACACAAAAAGTCAGTGACATCTGCAAATACGTTTTTGTTTAGATTTGTGGAACAAAATGCTGATTGGATGTTGAGTTTGGAGGTGGTTAGTACGGAAGCGTATTGTTGCCACACTGAGAGAAAAAAAAGGCTCAGTATCACGTAATTACATGATAAGTTTCACGTTATTTCGTGATAAGTTTTACGTTATTTCGTGATAAGTTTTACGTTATTTCGTGATAAGTTTCACGTTACTTCGTGATAGGTTTCACGTAATTACGTGATAAGTTTCATGTTATGTCGTGATAAGTTTCACTTTATTACGTGATAAGTTTTACTACTCTATATTGCAGTTCTACTTTCGCTTTTTCTAAATCTAAATTCTATCTAAATAAAGTGTTTGAGAATTCTACAATAAGTGAACAACACCATTTCCGGAAAGGTTGGCAGGGCCTAAAATATTGCAAAAAAAATCTGAAATTTTTAGTTTTGTAACAGTGAAAGGTCTGTGTTTTCCAAATTAATTCAAACCTTAATCATAAATTACCTAAAATAAATAAATAAAATAATAACAATTAAATCTCTTCAACAGACTTTAAACAGTTAAACAAGCTAGGTTTTTGCTATTTACATTTTTTTTAATGACAGCTGGTAATTTTTTGCTAGTTTTAAAATATTTGCTAATTCTAAAAAGGTAACAGTAATTCTGACAGGTAACAGTTACTAACAGACTGTGATTTCTAAATTTACAAAATCTGAAAAATAGTTGATAGTTGTGCATTTTTTTTTAACCTCACATTGTTTCTTCATTTGGAGTGTGTGAAACAATCTATTTCTTGATTCTTTTTAACAAATAAACTGTGGTTTCTATAAAACGTTTTTTAATTTTTATTTACAGTTATATGTGTATCAATTTTTCAGGGAGGATGGTCTGAAACTCCTGAGGGCTGTGCATTTCCAGGTTCTTGCTGGATCTATTTTTGACTGTAACACTGATGAGCCACAGCATCTTAATTAATCTTAATTGTGATGCTGGCGTTAAAGACTGAGCAGAGCATTCAAGATAAACAACAAGGCTGCTTACCTTTCCAACACACACACACACACACACACACACACACACACAAATCTCTCTCCACTCCAATAAGCCTGCTTTTCTCTGAAGACCAAGCCTTTTGGGGTCTAAGTAAGAACCACATGAGTCTCTTGCTGATGTGGTCTCCTACTCTTTGTCTCTTTCTCTAACTTACCCACCACACCACTGTGGACAAAGGCTGACAGATGAAGTTGTGTTTGGGGGCAGGGGAGCTATGTGTTGTCGCTCTCTCTCGCTCTCTCTCTCTAGTTCTCTCTCTCTCACACACACGCACACAGAGACACACTTTTTTTACTCTTTGTTTGTTGCTGCTTCATCCTGTCCTTCCTCCCCTCCTCTCCTTTCGCCTTCTTTGCTCCTCTGAAATGCCCTTTTCTCTGCTAATGTAATTAGCACTGGTAAAGAAGGGCAGTTAATTATCCACTTTATTTTGATCGGATAATAATGTTATGCCAGGAAACAGCAACTGTTTCATTAACATAGAGCTCAAAGCAGTGATCAAACTGGGTATAAACGCCCATGCGGTGGCTGGTGAACATGCTCCACGCCTCTGTGTAGATTTGTGTAGAGACAAAACATCACATCTACAACAACTGTGACAGTTTCAGCCACACCAGGACGTCAAAAATCTGACAGTGTTGTCATAGATCTGACCTCCGCAGCAGCAGCTCACTGTTTGTGCCTGTTCTCTCTTTGTCACCAGAAAGTAGCACTTGTCAAAAAAAAGTCCAGGTTTGTCTATTCTTCCTCCTCACCCTTCCTCCTTCCCTCTCTCCCTTCCTCACTGGGATTTGTTTTGATATGCTGTTAATTTGACAAGTTAAAGTCAGCTTTGTTGCTGACACCTCAGCATTAATCTTGCTGTGTTGCGCCTTCTGCCCAGTGGTGCAGGAGCCATGTGCTCCTCTTCCACATGACGGTTTTGTTGCTGCTGCTGCTGTGGTGGCTGTAGTTTACTGTCTTCTGATCACAGTTTGGATGAAGACAGGAGGAGATGCCACCTGCCACTAAGTTGTTCCACATCATCACTTCAAAAGAGCAATTAGCTACTGGGCAAATGGGAGCACCAACCTTGCCATTTTTGGATTATGGATGCAGCCGTAAAGCTGATGAGCCGTCGTGTTTAAGATAGAACGTTGTCTTCCCTCTCACAGGAGCCTAAACATAAACCACAAAAAACACAACCTTCCTCTCTCACCTCTCAGGGGATGTGTTTGTGTTTATATACCCAATTAGCCCTCTGGCCACAGCATGGACATGCATTAGGCTGACATTAGCCCCGTGTGTGTAACATATGTGTGCATGTTAGTGTGTGTGTTTAAAATGCAATGCATCCCTCCCTTCATCTGAGGCGTCATTTCAGGGCTGTGCGTGCCTTATTAGGCAGACGGAGGCTGAGTGTGACGGGGTGGCCCACTGTTCTGTCAAAAACATTGATAGATTGGTGTGTGTGCACCCGGCTGGTGTCCTGTGCCTTTGGCCCGTCAGTAAAACCCACATTGTTGCCCATTAGACCACTGGACCCCGACTCCTCTTGTTCTTTTTTCAAATGAATCTCCTCCCCTTCTGTTGTTCCTCTGGCTGTCAGTAGAGAGGGATGGCAGATGGGACAGCCCACAGAGCTGCCCCCAAGAGACCACCCCCAACACAACATACTGTATATTTACACACATGTAAAGACGCCGGGACATGCATGCATGCACAAATGCACAAGAAATACACATTATATAACTGCGTGTATTTGTGTGTGTATGAGAGAGAGACAGAGAGAGAGAGAAAAGGAGAGAGAGAGAGAGAGCGGCAACACATAGCTCCTCTGCCCCCAAACACAACTTCATCTGTCAGCCTTTGTCCACAGTGGTGTATTCTGTAAAGACAGAGTGACGTCTCTGTCTCCGCTTCTCAGTCTGTGCTACGTTTACCTGTTTTTAATGAATAAATATCTGTGCATCTATTTTCTATACTATATGATGTGTATAGGAGATGAAGTGATAAAAGTAAGGGGCACTGATGAGGACTTTGTGTACACATTTAAGACAGAAAAAAAGCAGTGATTCCAAACCACTGTGCTGTGGTACACTAATGTGACATGAGAGATTGTTAACCATGGAAAAATATTACAGTTCACTTAATTGGACTGAAAACTGTTATTTAAGTATTTGTGTCTTTCTTTAATTCCTGCAAGTATATCAGCATTGTGTCTAACTAAACAGGCCCAGGTTTCATACTGTGAGTAAACTGAAACTGGAAGATCAATGTATTTCATTACATACTCTTTTGGGGGCATTTTAGTTTAGTGTGATTTTTCTAATGTTAAATATGTCCCTTGGCTTAAACACTTTAAAAGTGTATCCATGTTAACATTACCTCAAAACTCCCCGTGGCCCCTCATCGTCTTCATAGTTTTATTGATCCACTCCTACATAAGAATTTATAAAATATCAGAGTGGCTGCAGGACAGATCTTTTTGTCGGAAAAAAAGAGTTTCTTCTATCGCCATCTCTCTCCTCCTCTGGGTTTAATATTGACAATTAGCCAGATTAGAGGAACAGGGATGTAATTTGGGCCAAATGCAGGTATTGAATGTTTGTGTGAGGTGAGAAGGCCCCACACTGGTGATTAATTACAGCCATGTTGGTGACAGAGGTGGGAGCTCTCCAAGTGCTGACTACTGCAGACATGCAGGGAAATCCAGCCTGGTTAATTGACCCGGCTCCTGTAAGGCCATCCATCACACGTGGCCCAAGTGGCCCCGCAAGAAACACATTATTTCGAGGTAAGTTAGTTAACCAACTAGCACTGCACCATTCATTAATGCCATTAGCTGCTCTGCTGTCTGTTTCTGCATGCTATGCCATCCACCACAGGGATTTAGTTATTAGGCAGTTAATACAAAACCACGCATGTGAAGGAAGGTTTTCTGTGTGTGGATTTCTGTGTCTGTGTGTGTGTATGTGTGACTGAGAAACAGAGAAAGAGAGAGAAAGAGGGAGAAAGAGTTTCATCATTGTTTAGATTAGCATTTTCATAAACTAGATGTGTTTTGTACGAGACAGTACTATACAAGACCAGGAGAAAACACAGCTCCAAAACTCGCTCCATACACATGTGCACTATATAAACATATAATTAACACATTAAATAATTACTTAACCAATTAGCGTTATAACAAGTGTATATTAGTCTTGGTTAGCTTTGCAACAATTTATCATGGCAAATTTGAAAAGGTAAAAGTTTTTTTTTCAATAAATGTAGTTAAAATATTCATAACCAATAGTTTGTATGTTGTAAATTGTTTTTGATCACTTATTTTATTGCCTCTAAATCTCACAAACATCGTTTGTGAGATTTTACCCGGGGGTCACCTAGACCCGAAGGACCTTACAATTCAGTTTTACTTCTCTATTTAAAAAAAAGAATATTTACTGTAGTACCACTAAATATGTTCCCAACTATTTCTGACACTCAATTTGTCATTCTGAGTGTTTTTAAAAATAAAAACTAAACTGTAATGGTTCTTTTGTTTAAATATATAAATGAGAGTGGGCTTCTTTAATCCCTTGTGACAGAAAACTGAATCATTTTCGTTGGAGAACAAAAACAAAAGTTTATGGACTTCATTACTTTTAACCCTTGTGCGGTCCTTCGCATTTTTGTACACACCGTTTGTCCTTGCAATGATTTTCATCTTGTCCCAGAATATGAGAATTAATGAATATGAGGAAAAGTTGGCACAAGTCATGCAGTACAGGAACATGCACATGCACACATACTCACACACACACACACACACACACAGAGAGAGACACAAACACATATTGAAGGACCTTACAACGGTTAAGTTTCACTCACACAAAGGAATACTTTCAACAAACCCCTGTACTGTACTAAAGTATTTACTGTATCTGTACCTGTATATGATTGACCAAAAGAAAAGTTGGCTATTTAAAAATAATGGTTGGTTCTTCTGACCATAAAAATATTGTTAGCAGTAATTGCCTGCTGTGAACTGTAGATACACATACAGTACTGTACTGGACAATACATTTGGACAACTCGTAGTTTTTCTTTGGCAAATAATTAAAAACTATATACATTTTCCTGAAACTCCTCATCAAAA